TTAATGAAAACGCACCATAGCCATACCATAATATTTTTCCAACTATTACTTACAAAATATGCTTGTTAATACTATTCCTAATAAATTTTACAGCAATACATTTTATTGTTAGGCATTACAGTTTTGTCTAAGCCTATCAAATCAGAATTTCCAATGTTTATGTTTTAGGCGTTACAATTTTATCCAAGCACATTGCACACTCATTTAAAAAAATAATTAAGTAAGACAAAACAAAATCTAAAATTCAACTCCCATTGCAAACACCTGAACAACGAGCGCGATGAATAGTGCTGAATACGGAAGGTAAAATAGAAACCGTCTCAACAAAGGTGGAATTCGAGAACACAAGGTAATTGCGCAGACAAGACAGAAGTAATTAACACTGGAGAACACGAGAGAAGACAACTGACTGGGTTTGTGGATGAACGAACGCTCAGCAATTTCTTTGAAGGGGAGGAGCATTGTCGAATTGTCAGACATGAGCAAAACATTGACGGGAAGAAAAGGAGAATCGGAAAACAAAAGGGCGCATGCTCGCCAACAATACCGGTCTTCCAGTAGATAAAACTTGCAGATATTTCATCAGACGCTGACATTGTTGAGCTCACAATTATTCAGTCTGTTGTCGCCATTCTCAGCGTTGTTTGCGAGTTTATTGCATGGAGCAGCGCATTGTTTTGTTGTTGCTCAAAGTTGTGTGTGTATGTGGGGTAAAAGTTGAGTCGAACCCATGGTCTTCCAGTAGAAACTTGCTGGTATTGTTGAATTCTCAATCATTCAAGCTGTTGTCGCCATTCTCAGCGTTGTTTGCGAGTTTATTTATGAAGCGATGCGTTGTTTGGTTATTAATGTTGTTACTATAAGTTGAGTGCATATGCAGGGTAAAATGACTTTAAATACATGGCCTTTTAGTTTATATAGCTAGCTGACATTGATGAACTCTCAATCATTCTGTCTGTTTTCATCTATCCCCGGCGTTGTTTGTAAGTTTATTGGATGAAGCAGTGCGTTTTTTTTTAAATTAATCGTCGTTGCTAAAACTTGTGTGTCAACGTTGCTTTGGGTCGTGATCGTATCGTCAATTTGTTATGACCCAGTAGGTGGAACCTATATTAGGCAGATGATTACGATATCATTGTTGTATACCACACGATTTAGGGCCAACCTGCAGATATTTTATCAGACAATGACGTTGTGGAGCTACTAATGTTTTAACCTAATTCAAAAGACACTTTATACTACTGCAATATAATTCAGTGCATAGTGCGTCATTTTGAAATGTAGAAGTGTTTTTCGTAGGTAATGTAAATTTGTTGTATATCTTATAAAAGGGTGAACCACGTGAAAAAACTAAAACAAATTGTTGGGGTCATGACGAATTGTGCTGTTTTGTACCGTGGTTATTTTTTTCTTTGAGTAACGCTTTTATGTTTATAATGACTTCAAAGAACTCCACTATAATGTGACAAACACAACAAAACAACAATCAACTTTATTAGCTGCGAAAAGCCTTTCCAAAAAGGGAAGTTAGGTTTCTATAGAACAGACTAGGGCGTATAGCTACCGTAGAGAACATGTCTCTTTGGGTAGAGCCGCTGTTATAAATCAAACTGGGTTGTTTTGGTGTTCTTTGGATTGTTGTTGCAGGGAATGCCACACCCTAAACGTTTGTTTGAAGTACAATCTACTGGACACGTTGAGCCCCGGGTGTGACTATACATTACAGAGGAGGTTATATAGTCAATGGTGTGAAGCCTGGTAGTGAAACTGTTAGTACTGTTTTCAGGTAATGACGAACTAAATGTATACCCAATTGGGTTTTCGTCGAAATGGTTTTTTTATTGTATAGAGAACAGTAGACGCCACCGCATTGAATTAAATTGTTATGAAAAATCCACTACCTACCGTACTTCTCAATAGTAGCGAATAGTTGTAAAATTAGATTAAGCTAATGCACAGATATCGTAATAAAACTACGTTATCGCAAAAATAGCATTACTTTCATCGTACAAAAAAATAAAAAAATATATTTATGTCTCAAAAAGTTACAGTATTACAGCTCACAAACTGAATACTGATATGCTTTCCCTGAAGTAGAAAACCTAATGTTAAAATAACTCGATGAACCTAAGGTTATTTGAATGAGGTTATGTAAATCTGACGTATTTAAGAAAATAACTATGGAAAATTCCAATTAGGGAAATAAGAGTTAGTTTATTCTGCAGGTTTGCTGTGGGGAAAGTTTCTTATTCATTTAATAATTTTATTCCACAAGTGTTGCGTTCAAACCCTCTATTTGCATGACATTATTTATCTTGCACTTCTTAAAGTCAATTTTCCTAACTTAATTATCTACTAATGTATATATTGACGTATTAGATACTGAAGATTCTGTTCATTTTTGTAAAACGGTGTATCGGTCGATAGATAGGTTCGAGTTATAGTTTTACATGATATGCAGGTATAGCTCATACTAGAAGTTCTTTGTCTGTACAAGGTGTTTCGTAGCAAACAGCCCTACATTGTTTTCCCCACCCTCGGTCAGGGATTCCCGAGCGGCGGCGGGGTTTATTAGACCCCTGACATCTATACACCCCCAATAAACCCTTACTCTTCAGACCTTTGTCTTCATCTGCCTCTGTTGTATTTCTCTTGTGATTTGGGCCACTTTGGAATTTTTGCCAACCTTGTCTAGACGACTTCAAGGTCTTTTGACCCACTTAAAGGAATTTGAATTTCGGAGGTGTTTTCCTGGTTCGACACTTTGTTCTATTTGGTGTGATTTACAGATGTGTCGGTGTGTGAATATTTGTTGTGCACCAAAAAAAACAAAAAAAAACAACACGATATAACAACATAATCTAACTCAAAATCAGCACATATTGGCATGTATATATTTTCTCAATAATGTATTTGTACTCATATGATGTAAATAAATCCAAAAAGAGCTAAAAGTACCGTTTTCCTGAAATGTCCCCATATAACTGATCCAGGCTACACCACTACGGAGCTCGTTGAAGTCGGACCTTATGCACTCTTTGTAGCCTAATCACGCAATAATTTCAAAACATACTTTATCCAAACTTACAAAGGTTAATTAAATAAACACTGGGAAGGTTTACGAAGTAACCTAATTTCAATTTGATAATGCCTATACAATTTGAAACTGACTCATAAAGAAAAAATAATAGCCTTATATAGTTATGGAGGCTGCACTTTACTTTAGGTCCTAGGTCCTACACTAATTCGAATGAAAATATTGATTATTCGAATGAAACAATCGATTGATATTTTCATTCGAATGAGTGTAGGACCTAAAGTAAAGTGAAGTAAACATGTTTTTATTATTATTTAAATTTATCTGTCCAAAAACGTCCAGAATAGTTGTTACAGCTGTTGGTATATACACCCGGGCCGGTGTTTATGGTTAAAATCTATACCGTTTCTGTTCTAATGTTCAATGCTCGTGTAAATTGCTATGATGATTATTAAAAAACAACGGAAATGTAAATAAATAATAATTTCTTGTGTTAATGAACGAGCCAAATACTCAACCTAAACACACAGAAATACCCCCGCCGTAGCAAACCTGCAGACTTAAGTGAATTTCTTATTTGCCTGATTTGATTTTCAATTAAATCTTTTTCAATAACATTAGGTTTGACGGGTACCAAGGTTTACTGCATTTAGGGCAATAAAGTGTGTTTTTTAGTAAAACGTTAAAAGCTTATTAGAAAATGAATAGATTTGCCAAGTTTGATCAAAATATATCCATAAACAAGCAAATTTCAACATTATACTTATTCTCTATAGGAATAACATGAGAATTTCAAATTTACAATTTTATGCGTAACCAGTAACCATACAAAAACACATCAATATACTAAATTATTTGTTTTTAAGCTCTTCAAAATGGTCTAGAGAGAAATCGGGAAATTTTATGTTTTGAGGATCAAAAATGAGAAAACCCAATTTTTACCCCATAAATAGGGCTGCCCCAATAAAACCCCGTCCCCATGGTCTGATCATACTGGTTCGTAAACTCGTTCGAATAAACGTAGGTTTACACGTTTGTACCGAATTTCATCGATATCGGATCATATTTGCTCGAGTTACGGACACACACATATACTTGAATTTGAACTGATGGTGGTTTTGGCCTCTGGGGTCATCAAAACGAAAAAGTATATCGGTCCCGGGACCCCAAAGGGTTTAAGTCTTATCTTACCATGAGACCTACGGTAATAGCTTATTCCTTATATGGGAAATTCGTTCAAAAGAAAAATTCGGGCGAAGAACATTGACCAAAGAATACCTACAGGTCATCTGGAAACTATCGCTGATCAAATAGGTACAGTATTTTACTGACTAGGCCTATCTTTTTTCTAAATCAGAATAACAAACAATTTTAAAACAATTATTTGAACTGGCTTTTTTAACTATCTAAAAAACTATCAAGTCAATGTATATCCAAAGTTATGAATAGGCTGAGAGCCATAACAACTAATTTGAATCGGCTCTTTTTTTTACTTGCTGAAAAACTATCAAGTAAATGTTTATCCAAAGTTATGAATAGGCTGTTGGATCGGAAACACGATGTTTTACCATTACCTAAAAATAGTTACGGAGTTTTTTATTTGCTTGTGGCTATGCCAGTGGCATTTTTTTAATTAAGTAAAATCAAACACTTTAAGGAAAATCGTTCGAAACCCAAGTTTTGTGAATGTGTCGGGAATTGAACCGACACAAAAATCCATGAATATTTGAACAGACCCGGTATGGATCAGTTACTGGCCTACTATAAGAGACGAAATGCATCCTACTACATATCCAATCAAGCACCATCAAAACAGGTAACTTCAATATAATAATATTCAGAACAACAGTATACGAGAATTCAGAATACAATCGATCAAAACATATTCAAAGCACGAAGAATACAAAATCTACAAGAGGTAAGAATGATCAGGGATCAGAGGGAAGTCAGACGAACAGACAGACATAAACAAGGCTCAGTGTCCAGGGTAGCGTGCGTCGTGCGGGCTAAACTAACTCTAAATTTCGGATTTTAAAGACTTTTTATTTCGGTAACAATGTTTGGTAACATATGTGTAATACACTCGTTATATCCACTGTGGGGGACAATGAAAAGTAAAGAAACTGATTTATTATTGTTCATTGTGTCCAACAATGCAGTGGCAATTCTGTACCTGGAACCGGGGGGCCAATGGGAGCGGGAGGCGTGGCTTGACTGGAGCGGCGCAATTGGCCGCACGTACCCCCGCCCACTCTAGGAGGCAGGGATGCCATCCTTGCCGCTCCACAGTCAGTTTACTTCTGCGACCCGAACAGTGAACATGACGAGTCACGCGTATCCCGGGTTCACGATGAGTTCGCCGATGGAAGGTCAAGAGCAACACATCAAGAGACCCATGAATGCCTTCATGGTCTGGTCCAGGATACAACGGAGGAAGATCGCACTGGACAACCCCAAGATGCACAACTCCGAGATCTCCAAGAGACTGGGCGCCGAGTGGAAACTCTTGACAGAAATGGAGAAGAGGCCGTTCATAGACGAAGCTAAAAGACTGCGGGCGATGCACATGAAGGAACATCCCGACTACAAGTACAGACCTCGCAGAAAACCAAAGTCTCCAGGTCAAACAAGTATCCCCAAGGGCTCGCCGACTCTGTACCCAACAGGACCCACCACGGCTGCAGCGTTCCCGAGCTTCCCGCTGCCTCCGTACTTTGCCTCGCCTTCGCCCCACCTCGAGAGTCTTTCCGCGGCATACCCTCCACTTCCGCACTACTTCGGGTCCGCCTTTGACGCCGTCCATCTCTCCAAGCTAGTCCAGAACCAAGCGGCCACCGCGGTTTCTTCAGAGGCCTCCAAGTACGCTTCCAACCCCGCCGTCGCCGTTGTCAGCTCGCTCTACTCCTCGCTGTACCCAACATCTGCCTCAGGAAAGCTGCCTCCGCCGCCACTGTCGTTCTTCCACCAGCCTCCACCTCCACCGCACTTCCTGTTCTCCGGCCAGCAGTCTCCAAGCTCCAGCCCAGGGTCTACGCCCACCTCCTCCGCTTCTACTACCCTGGACATCGACCAGCTGAGGAGGCCCGTCTCCGTCATATACTAGGACCAAGTTTTGTCGGAGGTAAGGAGTTACCGGACCCAGTTACCTACCCTTGTGTCGGACAATTGAGTGTGTTTCCATTTTATCTGTAGTCGGTAAGTCCATTGGTTTTTCTATATTTTTAGTCAACGTTAGTAAATGTTTTCGATAACTTAGTGTAATGCAAAGTTCAGTTTTGATTGCACAAACACTTATAACCTATATTTATTTCGAGTTTATATATTTTTAGTTAGTTAAATTATTAGTTTTTTTACAGATATTCAACACCAAACTAAGTTATTTTTACATCCTACATTTTATCTCTCAGCTTTCGTGTTTAATTTTACAAGTTTTCATATTTTTAAAAGGAAAGGAATTTTTGTATTTTAAAAATATCAATTAAAACACGTCATTCTTTTTTTACGTTCCTACTTCAACATAACGTCTAAATATTATCTAACCACGTTGAATAACTTAGTTTTTAAAACTTAGGCTAAATCCTCTCTCACTGCTTTGAGGTTTACAAATTGCAGTACAACGCCACATTCTATCGTATGCAGTAACATTAATTGCCAATCATCGTCTAGATTCTAAATTTTTTTTTCTAAAAACCATAATAGGTACAACATAGCAAGTTCGGTATGTAATTTAATTAGCTATTTTATTACTTTAATAAATATGTGTAAATAACCAATCCTACAACTTATTTTTGCAATTATCTTTTCTCTAAACATCAAAACTTAATTATATAATTGTAATAAGCAAGATCTTAAACATTTTCTTTTATAGATCTAATTTTAAATTAATGATGGTAAATTATTGTTAAATCTGCACACAATTTCTTACCATTAATACTTTACGTACAATTAATTTCTTCACTTTTCTAGCATGTATACTTCTTTCAGCTTCAAGAAAGCTGTATGTAAACTTATTTTAAATGCAATTAAGTAGGCAGGGCTTTTAAATTTTATCACGTAGGGTTTACAATAATTAATTTAGTTTGGTGTTCAATCCTTCGAAAGACTGAGTTGATTTGTATTGTGGTTGTATACATTAGTGTTGTTTTACATGGTATATATGCTCAATTTAATACGTTGATAGGGCTACACTTAAACCTTTTTGAAAATTATATCAGTGGTGCCGTTTATTTTTGTCTTGTTCATATTTTTCATGCTACTTGGCCCTTGTTAATTTAATTTATTGTTAATTCTTAAATTAATTGTTAATCTTCCACGGATTCGCTGCTTTCGAATGTGTTCTGTAAATAGATATTAACTATAACATTGTAAATAAATTTGTTATCATAATTTCAAGCCAAAGGTTCCAAGATTTTGGTATACATATGTATTTTATGTGTACAAATGTGTATATCGAAAAATAAATGTGGATGTTTTATTCTAAACTGTTTCCATTTCACTTATTCCTTTTTATTTAACATTGGTATTTATTTACAATCGATATGTATGATGGTCATTTTAAATTAATAAGGTCTTACTATACAACTAATGACTTAGAAATGAGAAAATTTAACGAGTTCTATGGAAATTCATTTTAATTTAAATATTATAATTATTTTCTTTGAATACATTATTATGATTCCCTCTTGGTGTTGGTAATGCAAGTAATTGATTGATTATGTATATCTTTATTTGTGCTATTAATGTACAATGTCTTAAGAGTAAATGCGCTTTTCAATCCCAAAGATCTTATCTGTTTTACGTTTAGACCAAATGGGAAAATCAATTATGAATGTTGCTCTTTATATAAGCTTATGGACTAACGACATCGCCATTTGAAGTCATTTACAATTGTTTCCTGTTTTTATCACTGTTTGTATCGCAACTGTGTTTCATAAGAACATTTGAATATAAAGTGAAAACAGTTCTAAATCCACACAACGCCAAAAGGATGTGAGAAAAAAAGAATTTTAGAAATATTGGTATTTGTATTTAATTCTCCATTGGCAACAGAGTTTAATGTTATGGATATTTAAAAAAAATATTTTTATAGAACATACTGTGACTAGTTGCAGTAAGGTTGGGCACATGCATACAGACATAAATGTTTTTGCCATTAGAAGCTGGCATACAGTATCTTTTTCGTCCAATTGTTTAACTTACTGAGGCGATTTTAATAGCCATTCGATATACTATAATAGATTCATCAACAAGAAAAGTCCGTTTCTTAGGATATAAACAATTTGTACAGTTTTTTTTACGATCCTTCAAACTTTGTAAATCATCACACAGATATATTACCACATTGCCTATCCAAACTCATTTTGAAGCAGAATATTTTTATTTAAAAGTGTGTTGTTAGATAATAAAATATCGCGAAACCAAAACATTCATTCGTAGAATGGATAAAAAAGGAAACATGCAATTTTTCAAACAAACGTCCTTCAAATTAGGGCAAAATAGTTCAGTTTCGCTTGGAAATATGGCAGAAACCAGCAAACTGTAATCAATTAATACTAATATTTGTGTCTAACCAAGGCCACACTAATCAAATGTTGGTGTGACCTTGGTTCAAAAAAACAAAATATTAAATCAAGCGTGATAAAGTTTTAATATGAACGATAATACTCTATTAGCAGCTGTTTAAAAAATAAATCGCTATGATTAAATCTATACAGGTATTAAGGAACACGAAATTCTGAAAAACCCGTAAGCAGAACACATATCGACCGCATACTTGAATGAAAGGTAATAGGTATTGAAGAGAGTATTCTTGGAAAAATGCTAGGTTTTCGATAAACACTAAGGGGGCATTAATTAAAGGGTTGAATATCACCACGTTTAGAATAATATTGAATATGTGCTGGCTGTTGAATTTATTTTGGCATATAATTGTTTGTTTACTTTTCTCCTGGGATCACCTTTTAATTCTAATTATCAATTTTCTATGTTGTACCAAGTATAGTTACGTTTTTTTATGATGTGGGATAATATTTACCTTTGAATTATGTACAAGTCTTCCAATTGTGTCCATATTAGATCAGTTTTCTATTAAAAAAAACACACAATAATTGATGTTAAAGACAAAAATGTTTTGTATAGTCACTCGCAATAAGAACCAAATATTTTGAAATGAGTCTTGAGTCCCAATAGGTAAAAATAATTGATCTGTAGAGCATTTTTCCTTATGACATGGAAAATTTTGATAAAATTGCAACAGCTGTTTGCATAAGACGAGGTGGGAAAGAACACAATCTTTGAATTTTTCTCCCCTTTGTGGACCACGGGCCTCATTAACTTAATAGGTGATGTTTTGATCGTATAACACTTGTATGCATAAAGAATTGCGACAAACAGCTGGGAAGAGTCCCTATTTTGGTAGTGCTCAAATTGGAAACAAACACCCGATGCATGTTACTGAGGATCTAAGACAAAAAATCAAGTCTATGTTGAAAGCTTTGTTAGACTTTATTGGAGACTAAAATAAAATAATTAAATACAGTAAAGGGAAATGTCAAAGGAAATGTACTCAAAGGCCTACCAGTGAACTAATTCAAGAAGGTCTTTCAGGGATCTAAAACACTTTAAACGAAACGACCCATAAATGTTAATTTTTGTTTATCTCTATGCGACAACCACGTTGCTTGAGCGGCGATTCCTGTGGTATCATGATTCAACAGACTACGGAGACAATATAGTTATTTGTGCAACTAGTGAGAAAAGTGAGCAATTGACTCACTCGAGAAATCCTTACTCAGGAATGGTTTCTCGAGTGAGGCAATTGTACTTTGAACTCGAGTTGCACATTATACATTTCCTACAGTTACCATAAAACAAATAAATTTGTGAAGAAACATAACCTATTTTTACACAGAAGTGAACTTTTAATATAACATTTAATGTGAAGTGACAAATACAACAGTACAACAGCTGACCAGCTGATTTACAGCCAGTGCTGCCAACGTATTTCGCGCGCATACGACGTTGCCTGCATGTTACGCGCTCACTATTTCGTGCCTTCACTTTGCAAATCTGGAGTGAGACAAAGTAATTAAAGTGAGACAATGTTAACATTGTCTCACTGATGAGCGAATTGGCCACTTTGCTTTCTCAAATCAGTGAGAGAACATGTACATTGTTAGGTAACTGTAGGAAATATAATATTACAGTATTATATTGTATGTGATGATACAGTTCTCGCTTATTTGCTTGGACCACACTGATGATGAGACTGCACTAAAAATGATACTGTAGGCTACTCTACACACAACCTATAATTTTGCTTCAAACACAAACAAAATTTTATCAATTATTCCTTGAGTTAGTCTATTATAATATTTCTATAAATCTAAAATGCATGACAAATGTTAAAAATACAAAGATAAAAAACGGTATAGCAAGGATGAAGTATAAATAAATAACAAATATTTAAGAAAATACAAGTTAGAGATAAAACACTAATCAATGAACAGTCCTGTAAAAATAAATTGTATAATGCAGGGTGTTTCAAAATGAAAGAGAAGATTAAACCATATAACATATCAAATCTGCTCTTTCATTTTCAAAAACTGTGTAACATTCCCGTCTGTATTCTCTGTATGCAGTTACTACACTGTCAATCCGACTGCAGTGAAAATAAACGGTATCAGCATTCTGACACATACTTTCTCCCATAAGTTTGTCAACAACCTTTATCATGTGTAAGCGGTGAAAGTAAATATACGGAAATGTAATTTGTACGATTTTGTTCAGAATTTAAAGGACTACATACTAATTTTTTTCAAAATCGTTCGGGCCATTTTTGTGAAAATCTGATTTTTCCGTTATTTTATGGGGTTTTTATGGGAAATAACATAATTTACAATAACTTTTGAACCATAATTTTTACAGAAATGGGATTTGTACCATTTTGTTCAGAATATAAAGGACTATAACATACAATTTTTTTATCAAAATCGTTCGGGCCGTTTTTGGGGAAATCCTATTTTTCTGTTATTTTATGGGGTTTTATGGGAAAACTACCATTAAACATTAAAATTTTTAAAAATGAAAAAAACTATCAAAACTTTAAGGACCATAACATACTATGTTAAAATAAAACAGGATTTTTTTCTAAAATCCTATTTTTCGTTATTTTATGGGGTTTTTATGGGAAAATAACATAATTTACCATAACTTTTGAACCGTAATTTTTACAGAAATGGGATTTGTACCATTTTGTTCAGAATTTAAAGGGCTACAACATACTAAATTTTTATCAAAATCGTTCGGGCCATTTTCGAGAAAATCCGATTTTTCAGGTTTTTTATG